AATCTCAGTTAGGAGCGGAGGAATGAATTTTCAAAAGCGCGGAGTAACCCCGAACGGTTCTCCGGCGTCGAGTGAGCCCGGAAGGGCTCCCCCGATTGGAAAATTAATTTCTCCCCCCCTAATTGCGATGAAGGAATGAAAGCAGCATCTATCGATCGAGAATTATATTCGCAATAAATGACAGCGGTTTCATTCCTTAATCTCTATTAGGAGAGGAGGAATGAATTTTCAAAGCGCGCAGTAACTGCAGACAAGTTCTTCTCATTCAAAAATTAATTTTTCCCCTCCCTAATTGAGATGAAGGAATCAAACCAAAGCCCACCCGATCGAGAATTGTATTTTTAATAAATGACATCGGTTTCATTTCTTCATCTCAATTAGGGAGGGGAGAAATGAATTTTTGAATGAGAAGCATGGGTCGTTGAAAATTCATTCCTCCGCTCCTAATTGAGATTAAGGAATGAAACCGCTGTCATTTATTCAAAATACAATTCTCGATCGATAGGCTTCGGTCTGATTCCTTCATCTCAATTAGGGAGGGGAGAAATTAATTTTTGAATGAGAACTTGTCCGGAGTTACTGCGCGCTTTGAAAATTCATTCCTCCTCTCCTAATAGAGATTAAAGAACGAACCCGCTGTTATTTATTGAGAATACAATTCTCGATCGATAGATGTTGCTTTCATTCCTTCATCGCAATTAGGGGGGAAGAAATGAATTTTCCAATCTGGGGAGCCCCTCCGGGCTCATGCACCGCCGCTACAAAATTTTGCGGTTGAAGCTTCTACATAAGCGCTGGCAGTCTCCCCTATAATCTCTGGTCATTCCATTGAAAATGAGAATAATGGCGCCATCTCTTAGCGTGGCGCTGCACTTAAAATTACAACTGTTGAGACATTTGCTAAGGATACCTGCAATACCGAGCCCTGTTTAACCGACTCATCAAAATATGTCCATCTGAGAATTTGTCCATAAATTTTCGTGTCCATCTGTACTGCGCAGATTCGTGCCGCCGCCATTTTCCCTAGATCGTGTCCAAAATGGAATTTGTCCATCTGAGATTGTACAAACGATCCCCCCGGAGTTCGTTGGGTGACGCCAAGCGGAGCGGTTCACTCGGTCGCTCCGTACTACAGGATATTCTAGCCCGAGTTGGGAACATATCCTGTTTCTTTAACATCTATTCCTTTTTTTCCATTTTCCTTTCTTCTTTTCCTTTCTGCTCCTTCTTTTCCTTCCTTCCTCTTCTTTTCCTTTCTTTTTGGCTCTCCGAGAATTAATAGTAGTCTTAAAGACTACCAACGAACTCCGCAGTATATAGAATAAGTGGAAATAAAATCGAAGATCAGATTTAAAGTGTGCTGAAAGTGGAAGTTCCGAATAAATTCTTTCAAGATTTCTATACTAGCCGTGGAATTATCTTTGAAGGAAATTTCATTTTGTAAATTCAGTTCAACTTTTTGCGGAATTAAAATTGGAGATTTGGTGAAAGAACAATATTTTGGATTTTAATTCTCGGGAAAAATCGATCGGAATTCATATAATGGACACAAGACATCGCGGATACCATTGAATAACATCTATTCTTACACCAAGGACACACGAATGTAAACATCAATCATCAAGTGAATCAAACAAGAAAAGAAAGAAGTTTTGAACTATTCGGTACTGCCCCCTGGGGGGTGTAACCATAACCATCAATTACTTGGAGGAGAAATGGTGCTTGCCTCTACTGCTGTTAGAGGATATAACCAATTACGAATAGAAGAAGTAGAAACGATCCCCCCCCTTTGGCGAGTCCAATAGAGCGCCAAATAGCTCTCTGGCTACACCGTCAAGGGGATTGCATCAAAAATGAAGAAAAAAATAAACAGCGAAAACGTCTGGAAAAGCTTATAAATAATAATAAGTGATACGATGATTGTATTCTCAAGACTTGGACTAGTTTTATAATTAATATTGGACTCGCAAGTATTTTTTTTTTTTAGATAATTCTTATAAGGAATGATTGAGCTAGTGAGAAGGCACTGAGCTGCAATATTATTATTAGTGTTTCAATCATCATTCAATGGAGTGCAGACGTTGTCATTTTTTAAAGAGAACGAAATCTTTTGCGATTACTAAAGTGTTATTTTGAGATATAAACTTGAAGAGCTATTGAAGATGCATGTCAAAGAGAATTAGGAGAAAGAGGCATTTAGTGTAATAAGATTTTGAGATAGTATCACTGATTGTTCAATTACGAATCATTAAAGTACATCATTTCATACATTAGGGAGGAGAAAAACTTGAGTGATTAATGATATATATGTATATTATTTGGAGACTTAGTTTGAAGATTTTTATATTATATACGCCAGAATCTATTTGATGAATCGTTGTCAGTTGAAACATTGCAGAAGATAATAAATGCGTTTGGTATTTTTCAATAGACCCTAGTAATAACACTTTTCTTCAGTGAATGTAAGAAAATTGTTACTATTTACTGCGTAAATGAAAATTTCGTGTTTTGATCTGATTTTTTAATAAAAATCAATTTTTAGCAATTATTCTGATGGAAATTAACTTGTCGAAATTGCTAAAAATTGATTTAGATCAGCAAATCAGATCAAAAGAGGAAATTTTCATTTACGCTGTAAATAATAACAATTCTTAAAAATAATCCCCCCCCCCTTCACCCCCCTATGTACTTGGTTATCTTGTGCATATGACGTACCGATGTCTCCACGTGTGATATCTAAATGGATGATCAAAAAGATGCCTGGAAAATATCCAATAGTTGACATATTGGCAGTTGTTTCGTTAACATTTTTTTAGATGAACATCTGGATAGCTCCAAGTTCACTAAATGTCGTCCTTTTTCTCACTGCCCAAGCAGCACAGTTCTGGAGGGTATCTGCAAGTATACCAAAAAGGCTGTCTAATGTCTGTCCAAAATGGTAACTTGTGTCTAGAAGTTACCTAGAAGTTAACTAAATGTTATCGTATGACTGCAAGATACCTTTTGGACGGACATTAGTCAGCCTTTTTGGTATACTTTCAGATATCTTTCGCAAGGTTTGCTACTTGGGTGTATTTGTCAAACTGTCCTCGGAAAAGTCATCTTTTCGATACCTATAAGTCCTGACATTTTGTTATTCATTCGACTCGATGTGAAGTTAACAAATTTGACTGTCGTCCAGTGCAGACATTAGATAGTCTTCCGGGCACACAAAGTTCAACTTTTTGGACTAGTCTAAAAGATATCCTCTATCCATTTGAAGATACGGAAATGTCATCTTAAAGATAACTCGGTGCTCCTTGGGTAATTACCCAATTATTGGTGGCGTCTATTGTTACGTTCCAAGCTGGTTCTCCGTTGAACAGATGGCAGGTCCAATGCCCGTGGAGCGCTAAAGCACTCTGCTCCACAAGTGCGGGAATTTTCGAATAAAAATAATTGAACACGAACACCAATTTAATTAGATAATCCAATCGAAACGTTTATATTTACTTTTGAAAACTTAGAAGATATTTTACAACAACACTTTGGGTTTTTAAAACTTGAGAAGACGATAACAATTTCTCTCGAACTTCTCGTATCCACGTATGGGATGGATCTGCCCTTACTCTTACTCTAAAAATTAGTCTAAGTGTCGAAGACGAAGGGCTCATCCCACAGAAAAGAGTAGGGGACCAATCGTGGCCTTGAATCCAGGGAACAGTGTTGGGTGTTAACCCCCGCGATCGCTCGAGCTGGCCCAGCCCCAACTCTCGAGTCTACGTGACCTGAACAAAGGGCCTTACATGTGGTTTTTCGGGAGAGACAGAAAATGCTTGAATTTCACTCGGGGAAAATAAACTGTCTCCAGGAAAAGGTTTTACGACTCGAACCGTTTAATGTCAAGCTAGAATTGCACTCGAAAACTCTATATAAAAAAAACAATACAAAGGATCTTTTATTTTTGGATGGCCAGAGCTACGTCGAGAGACTCTTTAGATTTATTACTCGTTTCCTGTTTACGAGTTTCTCGAACTTACTTTCCAAAATTCTATATTTTCTTGTTTCCAAAACCGTGGGAATATTTCAACTAGCTTAAAAATAATATTGGATTTATAAAATTATCAGATAAAAATATTTGAATCTTAATGGTATAATCTAGTGGAATAATGGTAGTCATAGGGACTCTAGATGGTAACTAGTGGTTTACGCGACACTATAACTGCTCTGCGCATGCGTCAATCATGTTATGTATTTAAATAATGAGAAATAGGGGCGAGTGGGGCAAAATGAAACAGTCGAAAATACGGTTGTTTGACGGAATTCAATTTAAAAAAATTTTTTCTATCAACAATTTTTTAAAATTAATTTTTGCTTATCAACTTTTTTTTATTATTGCAAGTACTGATTAGAATAATAATTTTCCATTCAGTAAAATCGAAAATTATTGAGAAATTTTGACGGGTGAAGATTTGGTCAATGGATTAATTGAAAATAAAATGAAATAACAAATTCAAAGTCCAGAGGAAGGCCAAGAGGGAGACTCAGAAGGGAAAAAAAGAAAATGTGATACTGAATTTCATTGGAATGAAAAAAAAGTGTAATCGGCCTAATCTGATTAATTCGATTGTAATCAATTGAATTATAAGACGAATAAAAAATTATTATTATCATCAGTACTCCCAATATAAAAAAAGTTGATAAACAAAAGTTGATAAAAAAAATTTCTTTTCGTGTCACGGGACCTGAAAATTAATATACACACCTCGCCATGGAAAACATCACCCTCCCCCACGTGCTTGCCATCCTCGCCTGCACGTGGGGGACGGTGATCTGTTTTCCAAGGCTCGGGCATGTAATGTACTATTGCTTGAATTGCGTTAAATAGTCGTTTTCCGGCTCTTTTATTTTGCCTCACCCTCCCCTATTAATATGAGAACCATTAAGAGTAGAAGAATAGATTTTTTCATGATAAAAATGAAAATTGTGAAAGAATACAATATTAACAATCGTATAGTGTTTATTTACTATTACTTCATAATTTTCAACTCATCTTTCAAAATTTTATTGGATTATTTTGAATTATTCTCAATTATTTTTAAAGAAAAAACATTATAGATTATTTCGAAATTATTGTAATCCATATATGATTAATTATGAAGCTGTCTTAGATACGAAGTTTCCTCCTTTTTGTAGATGATGATTCCAGCGCCTGAAAATTAATTGAATAATCGAATTAACTTGAATTAATAATTACAATTATGAAATTATCTTGTTATCCAGTGATATTCATCACAACTATCAGAAAACATGATCGATAACAAATTTTCTTGGCTTCAAAAGGTAGAGCTTTTACCATCCAGCTGTTAGACCCACTTTTTCACAAGGTAGGGTGAACTGCCCATATGCGGAACACTACCCAAGAACGGAACATTTCTCAGATTTTACGAGATTTCTCAAATTTCGGCCAAGCTATCGATTTGATTTTTTTTTCTAAATTAAGTTTATCTCCCTCCTCATGACGTCATCACAAATCTGATCGGCTATCGATTACCTCCTGCTGAATATTGGAGAAAAATCCTGGCAGCAGCCAGTTTGCGGCGATTGATAGTTCTGCGTGCCATTTGACGGTTGTTTTTGAAGCGATGTTTATTAGATTTTAAATCACAAAATGCGGTAAGTTGTAATTGATATTGATATAAAATCCCTCATTCTTCAATATTTCCATATCAATTTCATCAGAAAAATGCTATTGTATTGAATATATGGGGGTTCCGTCTTTAGGGTTAGTTTTCCACGCAATTCCAAACGAACGGAACACTCATACGGGTGGATACCTATGTCAAGTGGGAATACGGTGATACTGTGGAAAGTGTATTGGCGGTTAATGAACTAATAATTTAATGAAGTTAATCGGAATCGTATCCCTAAATTAGTTTATTTTCTTCATTTTTTCGCGTAGATGGCTTCAAAAGGTAAAAACACACGAAAAATACACGAAGAGGAGGGAGAACAATCAGCCAAGGCAGAAGAGGTTAGGAAACCCTCTCAACGGTTTAAATACACAAAAAAAATCTAGAAGAAGCGATTGAGGCTGTGAAATCGGGGAACAGCTCTCTAAATAATGCATCAATTAATTATGGTATTCCCAAAACTACATTGCATTCACGAGTCAACGACTAAGTATCTGGATACTCTCATGGTCGTCAGTCTGTATTGATAGTTGGGGAAATCCACCGAAAAGATATAAATTTCGGGAGGAATTGAACAAAATTGTATATTTTCTGATTAATATCCTCCTCGATATGACTTCGCATCAGGAATTAATCTCTCAACGTCACACTAACCTCCAATGTTCCGTAAATGGGCAGACGATGTTCCACTCTTGGCAAAAGTGTTCCGTCCTTGGTATATTCGATGTGCGTGTACTTATTAATTATTTCCAATTATTTCCCATCAAGTGATAGGTTCCTTCATTTTTTCTCAGAAAATAGACTAAATTTGGAATTAGGCAGTATTTTTCTTAAATTTTTCAAGAGAAAATCTCAATATTTCATGACTGTGTAAACGTCTGAAAGGGCTTAAATGTTCCGTAAATGGGCAGTTCACCCTAATGCATAATTATCGTTTCGAAATTCCCATCAAGAAGTCAAAACCATTGTCATTAATTTTAGAACTTTTCTGGTGTTTATAGATTTGTGGAATAATTCTCAAAAGATCTTCTTTGTCAGCAATTTCCTTAGATGAGAAAATGTTTTGAAATCTTCTGCTAAAATCATTCGTTCCCGAAGGAAAAGTATAGTTAATTACTTCAAATCGAATAGTCGTAAAATTGTTCTTTTTAACATGAAATCATCCCGATAATTATCATTTCTACGATGAAAAGTGAAAAAAACTATCTATACTGAGGCGTTCTCAAGATACATCATGAATGCATGATTAACGATTTGAATATTCAGTCAACAAATTGAGAAAACCCTGCAGTTAATTGTTATGAAATTCTCTCTTTTATGTTTATTAATTTTGTGGTTAATCGACGAATTACCTACATGAAATCGAGAAGAGATGAGAGTTATCGAAAGCATTATAGAGAGACGGGGAGAGTGATAAGTGGGGATAACAATTTTGGGGTAATCGGACGGTGTGAAACACTGATCGCCCCCTGTCTTCGTCGTATTCTGATTGTGTATTGACGTCAATTTTATTGTGCGAGCTCGCTAGTTTTTTTTGTAAAGATACTAAGTTGATTAATTTGTTAACAAGGAATTGAATAGCTTCAAGATATGTGTCGACGATCTGAAATAAAGTAAATCTGAATAAAGACAAGTATATTTGTAGGAATAATCATATATTGAACTGTTTTTGACGACGAGATTAAACGGTTATGAGGACTCACGATTTATTAATTGATATCAAGAGTTTCTGAAATTATATTGTCGGTATGGGTGGGTATACAACATTTTCGTGCATTTCTTTAAATTATTAATCCTCTCCCTCTATTTTTATTTACTGTTGGTATTTTATTAAAATGTTCAATTTAGTTCCAATGCTATTTTTACGATTTATTTGTGAAATTCTGAATTGATTTCGTGCCTATCATCGGCATATTTTCATTGGCGTCTGATTGAATTAATATGATGAATATTCTATATGAAGCTTTGTTTGTAATATTCAAATATTTGCTCGTGATTGTTATATATTTCTTAATTGAATTTTTTTCTTAAGAAAATTCGAGGTAACATCAATCTGATTATTCTAATTTATTTGGTGATTTTTATTGCTCTTCTGTTGATGATAAATTTTATTACGATCATTGTATTATTCCTTGCTTGAAAAAGTTATAAATTTATTTCAAATTCTTTCCCTACAACTAATCGAGCGTAAATATCAAAAACATTACAAGTTTCAGGAAAAATGTCTACAAACCTTTCTAAAAACAGATAATTAAAAGAATTGATTCTCCAGAAGTTCTCCACTAGAATAGACACTTGCTCATAAACTTACCGATGATTTCCTCCTCTTCGTTCTCTTGCTTACTCCAAAAATTGCATTGAAAGACGATTGCAAATCAATCTTATTAATCACTTTCTTCTCCTTCTTTTTTTGCGTCTTTGTCTCCTTCTCCTTTTCCCCTTTCTCAATATTCTTCAACCTTTCCATTAGAATTTCCTTCGAAAGTGACTCTCCAGATTTTCTCAGCAACTCCTCATCGAAGAGGAGATATCTCTTGGGGATCTGCGGCTCTAACACTGCACCATCCCCTTCTCCGAACACCCCTCTCTCCGTCTTGACATCATTTTCAAGATAACAGATTGCAACATCGCAAACAGTTCGAATCTTGGAATTGATTAAATCGTCGTCAGGAGTAAGTGCATCCCTACAAACTCGCAATCTCTGCATCAACAGCTTGAAGAATCTTTGGACAACAATGGAATAAGAAGCCAATTAATAATATGTATTTAAGAAAAGAAAATGTGAATCCAAATAGATAATACAATTTTTCGGGTTTCTTCTAATTGGAGAGGACAAAATAAAGGTTTCAAAACTGTCTCAAGTTTCTCGAAGTCTCGGGGAGAAGAATATCAGAGTTATTGGCATAACTCCACCTACCTAGCCCAGGTTAATTGAACAATACTAAAAACAATTTTGGTACCCAATTTCTTTAACCCTTGATCACTCGTCGCTCACTGAGCGCGGCGCCGCCCGTTTTCGTTTTTTTTATATTTTAGCGTGTTACTTGATGCTTAAAAATTCTGAAAAAATTAGAGTTCCCATCAGTTCAATCCGTTTATTAAGCTTTGGCGTTGTCCGTTTTTTTTCTTCGGAAATTTGTTTAGCTAAAAAATGAAAAGAAACGTCGAATGAACAGAAAAGTAGCGCCGCACCGCCCGGTGCGAGAGAGTCGCTGTTGACCTCTCGAGCAACAGTGTTGCTATTTTCACTGCCACACTTGAAATGCGCGCATAGCACTAAGTGTCAAGGTGGCAACAGCGCACTCGGTTTAACTCAGCGGCGGTGCGCTAACCGTGCAACGGATGAAAGCTGGCGGCCGAGCGCGAGTGATCGAGGGTTAACTAGAAACTGCAATAGAGAATGTTCGAAATGATTTCAAGGCATGATGGAGAAATAAAAAATAAAGTTTTTCCAATTAGCCTTTTTCAACGTTTCGCAAATTATTTCAACAATCCCAACAAACAAATTAACTAAAATGATTTTTCTAACATCCCTTAGAATCCTTTCGGATATTAACGACAATGGAGATGAGCCAAAACATTCAAAAAGATCTTTTGATGATTTCTCTGAAGAAAAAAAATGAAGAAAACCCCCTTCTGTAAGACAATTGTACACGAGCATCTTCAGGACTACTAGCTTCATCGAAAAACTTTCTTTGTGAATCCCTTTTTAATTTTTATTTGCTTACAATATTTTCCGAATGATCAAAAGATCTACTTGCGATCCCTCATCTATAACCCTTATATTTAATTACAAAATAATGTACATGAGCAAAACAATGGCTGACTTGCAACACTGCATACCTAAACATTTGCTCCTTTTCTTCTCCATCCCCCTCGAACCAATAGTCCATAACAAACTCCACCCCCCTCTTAACTTCCACCAACTCCTTATCCCAGTTGGTTTCCTTTCCTTTCCAATGCACAAGAATCACCACAGCATAGATCACCGCACACTCCGGCTTGATGTTCTCCAACACCTTCTCCCCTGTCTCCCCCAATCCATCCAATCTCATCAATTTCATCAAGTTCTTCTTACTCTTCCGAATTTGCATAATCATTCCCCTTTTCAACCCCTCCCTCAAATCTTTGTCCTTCTCGAGGCCCCCGAGTACAAAGAATCCCATGAAATCAATCGGCAGACACTTTGTCGAACAATTGCGACTCAACCCTCTCTTCAGCTTCAAATGGAAACCTTTCCTGACTTCATAAACATCATCCAGCATCAGTTTTGATAGCTCATAGAATTGCTTCGGCTCCAATTTGTCCCCGATCTTCTCAAATCTGCAGAGCTTCAACAGACAAGCACCTGCTTGAAGCCTCAACCAAGACTTCTCGTCAGCTCGAAAATTCCCAAGTCTATCAACATTTCCATTCTGCGATATGAAAGTCATTAATAGTCGAATAATCTCGATGATCCAGGACTCTTGGACTGAACGGGATATCACCCATCTCGTGACACATTTCATCGCTTCCAATCTACAAATCGTTCCCAGCGGCAAAGCTTTCTTCTCAGACCAAGCCTTCTTCACAGTTTTGTCACCAGACTCGTCCGGATAAAACCGCAGAACTTTCATATAAACCCTCTTTATTAGTCCATAAATCATTTTATCAGATCCCTCGCCAAACCATGCAATATACCCCAAACTCGCAATTGCAGTCCTCGACTCCTTAAATGGATCCATCAAACAAGCCTCGATGTTCTCCAGGAAAACCTTGAGAATCTTCTCATCTTTGAAAAGCGGTTGACCGCACATGAGTTTCACAGCGGCCTTGGCCTCTTCCGTAGTCCCAGAAATGATGAAGCTTTTGCAATATTCTTCCAGAGCTGTCCAAGTGGATGGAATTTTATCTAAGGCCGTGAGTTTGCCGATGTTCGTCAGGATATGGAGGACATTGACAGTGATTGATGGGTTTTTTATTTTGAGAAAGCTTACGAGCGTGTGATATATTCCACCGTCAATGAAATAAGGAGCAGAAGAAAAGGAGAGAATCTCCAGAAGTTTGAACCCTTTTTTTGCTGCTGTTCTCGAATCCAATCCAATATCTTCAATAATCTCGTGATTATGTCTCAAAACAGCCTTCAGGTACCCAATCAAGACACGGACTGCTGTTTCATCGATGACCATCAAACAGGAACGCTCCAGCAAGGTCCTAACAGTGTTATAATAAGGATCTGTCGTATCTAAATCTCCAATCTTACTCAAAATCGTGTTAGTGAGGTCCTCAGATTGCGCGCAAGTAACGTTTGGCTGAAGAACTGTCTTCATGTCTTCCGCCAAGGAAGGATCCTCGTCAATGGCCTCAAAGAACTTCTGAAGATTCACTTCCGTTTCAGCTGGATTCTTAATTGATCTTGGAAAGAACTTGGAAAATAATTTCAACTGCTTCTGAGCCAATTTCTCGAGTTCTTTAACTCTCAGCTCATCAGTTTCGACTCTCAACTCTCTTCGTGACTCAAAAAGTTCTATTAAACATTTTCGAATTGTGAATCGATGGATTTGAAGCGCTGTGAATGCCCTACAAGCATCATCATTCAACTGAGTGAAAACATAATAGAGTGTCATCATTCTGTCCTGCACTTCAGCATGAAAATTCATAAACCATGTGTTGAGAATTTTCTCGACGTACATTCGATCCCTCTCATCTTCGATGTAGTAACCACATACAACTTCGTTCACTATTAACGACATTACGGATTTCGTAACGTCAGGTGTTCGAAAATTCTTCAATGCCTTGGATTTATCTGAATGAATGATTGATGAAAGTTGTTTCAGAGTGTGCTTTCGAACTACATAGTCCTTGTCCAGACCTCTTTCTTTGATTATGCTCAAGAGGCCTTGATCTGAAAGTAGCTCGGGCTCTTCCTCTGCAGCAGAGACTATCGTCGTAATCACTTCTGCTCTTACTTGGGGTGAACAATCCCGCTGTACCAGTTTGAGGAGTTCAATGATTTCATCACGTGTTGAACAATCTAGTAGAAAAATCTTCGCTCCTTCTAAACATATTATTCTGATCTTCTCGTTTTTGTCTGAGAAATTCGACAAAAAAAGTTTCCAGTAGTTTTCCGAATGTTCGTTTTGCAATAACTCGAAGAGGATGACTACTGCTTTGGATTTAATATTGTAGTCTGAAGACTTGAGCAGAGTGATGAGTTGTGGAAGAATGTAACTTTGTATTTCGGGATAGATCGAGGAGATTCCTGAGATTATTGGGTGTACTTGGTCGAGGACGTCATGACTTGTGATGTTGATGAGGATCTTCAAGAAGTCCTGAGCCAGTAGTGGCTGTAGGATTCTCTTGGAATCGAGTAATATTTTCTCTGAGAATTTATGAACTGTCTTATTGCTAGTGCATGTTAGGTTCAGGAAAATAAAGGGAAGGACACCCTCGACAATTTTTCGAGGAGAATTGATTAGGTTCGTTATTAGAATGGAGATTAGTCGATAGATATCTTGCTGGGAGTTTTTGTCGATGATATCGAAGAGAACTGCAATCAGTCGTTGGAGGATTCTGTGAGTTGTAGAGATTTCGCTGAAATTTGAGCAGAGAGCGAAAGCGTTTGATCGAGTCAGATTCGCGAGAATGCATTCGGATTCCTCGTAGAAAGGGGATGAAGGGTCCTTGAGAGGTTTTAGGTGGTCTATGAGGAAACGGAGGACCGTGAACAGGGTGTAAGGGGTGTTTGAGAAGGGGGACATAGGGTAGAATACGCGAAAAATGTTAGAGTGACAGATAGCAGCGCAGAGTTGAATGGTTTTGTTGGAGTTGGCGAGAAATAAGCGTTCATTCGCGAGGTGGTAGGCAAGAGTTTCATAAATCTGGTAGCTTTTTGAGTCTGACGTTCTCCAGACTGCGAGCTTCTCGGAGAGAACCTGAAAGAAGAAATGTGATGGATTGGGAATTGTTTTGTGGTTTTAGGGGAAGATAAAACTCGAATGTTCAATTCGAATCAGGTTATTGGTTTTTTTCACGAATTGGGGCTCCTGTTCTGAGAGTACAGAGGGAAAGAGGGATTTAGAGTGTAGAGCCAAGTGTCAAGATAGTTTTTTCGTGTTGTAGTGGGGTATCGAAAAGGTCTTCTGAATTTTCCATTAAATTCCCCAGTTTCTCTTAGATGGCTGAGTGAGAGGAGGGAACTTGAATAATGAAAATTGATAGTTTTGTTGATTATGCATATAATATGGAAACGAGGATTTTTACGCTGAGAAAAAAAAAATTTGCGAAATATTCATGTACTCGAGAGACGCATTTGATTTTTCAAAATCGTATTTTTTCCATCGAGTCATTCCTGGATGAGCCTGACTAGGTTTCAATTATAACAATCATGTTGTTCTAGAGGATGACTTTGTTGCACATGACCTGGGATAAACTCCTCTAATGATTGTTCATTTTGCCTAAATTTCTTATGTTCTAGAGGGAAGAATTCCGATTAATTTTCTAATGTTAATACTTATTGAGGGAGTTCACTCATGGTCATAACTGACATGATCATCTTCCAGAGCATTATAATTGACGTAATTGAAACCTAATGAAGATTTTCTCCGAATGACTCGATTGGAGAAATACGGTATTGAAAAAATAAATACTTCTCTCAAGTAAATGGATATTTGGCAATAATATTTTTTTTCTCAGTGTATAGGAAAAAAAACAAAAACAAATGTTTTTGCAAAAAAACTGGGCCAAGAAAAAGTTTTGTGGGGTCGTTTCTGGAAAGAAGAAACATTTTTTTCTGGAAACCACAATTCCCATAGAAATTTTGCAAAAAATAAACAAATAAAAATCAAAGCCAAGTCAAGAAATGTCCAATGGATCATGGAATGTGCTATCAGATTATTATGGGGAGGATAACTCTGAATAGAAGGATTTTCAAAAAAATCTTCATAAAATAAAAAATTCAGTAGAGACAGGATTCAAAGTTCTTGGCGCAGATCAGAAGATACAGATTGATACGGCTTGGGTACAGTCATCCCAAAAACAAATTCCAAGGCGCGTGGTAAATCTCCGAAACGTAAAGTCACTGAGTGGTAAAAATATCCGAATATTGTATAGTAAGTGTTGATTGTGCCAAGGCATTTGAATTGGATGAACACTATAGTGGATGAATGGTGAATTGCACAGGGGAGAGGAAAAATGGGTTTCCAAAGGAATAAGAATATGAAAATAACTGTTTGGTTTTTCAGATGAACTGACGAATAGACCGTTCCATAAAATCCCCGACAAGCAGATATCTTGGAGAGTGTAGACATGGAGCTGATTATTGTAAGAGTTTATCATTATTGGACTTTCGAAAAACATGTGAATTGATTTCCTACTGTAAAGACGAAAAAAGATGCAATAAAATCCACGAATGAAAATACAGGAGCAATTAATTTATTACGCAATGACCTATTATCTGCTCAGCACATTTCAAGACCTTAAAATCAGCTGTCTCAATAATCGCCAGAAATATTGCCCAGTAAGAGATTCTTAGCCACGGACTCCACATAGGTTTGCATCACTTTTTCCCAAAATGACGAATTATTGGAGTGTAATATTACATTGAGTGTCTAAACCAAGAAAGGGGTATTGGATGAATTCCAGAAACTGAAAACTCTTATTTGTTCGACTCCACAAATTGATTGCACATAGGAATATTGGGATCCATTTTACTAGGTTAGTGAAACTTGGAGACTATGGAAATATCAGACGAAAGAGTGATAAAAATCACTATTGGGATCCATTTTACTAGATTAGTGAAACTTGGAGACTATGGAAATATCAGACGAAAGAGTGATTTTTATCACTTGGAGACTATGGAAATATCAGACGAAAGAGTGATA